ATGCTCCTTCCCCCCAGTGCCCCACCGTGGAACTGGCACACACAAAATCTACTAGGCGGTTGGGATTTGCCATCGCCTCGAGGGTCAGTGCATGGGGGGAGGCTCTAGGGGCATGGCCGAGCAACAGAACAGCCAGCGAAAGCACCTCTCAGCAGGCCACATTGCCTGCAAGTATCTATCTGGAAGCTCCCACCCCCACCCCTTCCTCTCTGAGCTGTAGCTGTTGCACTGTTCATTGTGCTGTCTGGGGGGTAGAGGAGGAGGAGGAGGAAAGGGGTGAGTGCAAAGGGACATTCTAGTAGCGTATGCCACCCTCACCCTGCCAGCAGTCCCTTGCCGCTTGCAAGACTCCTGAAAAACGACTGGGGGGATGGGGCGGAGACAGAAGGCGCTTGGGCTGAGGATATAGGCTAAGCACCTTGATTTCCCGTGGCCAAATATTTCCCGTCTAGGAGATGCAAGGTATCTTAACCAGTTACTGGCTTGCCTGGGTCTCCCTCTCCAGATGTTCATTACATTGTAGTTGGTAAATAACATCCCAGGGCTGCTTCCGTCCATCCTCTTGGCACTACGGGGCAGGTGAGAAAGTAACTTAAGTTTCTTACAAGTACTGTCCTATCACAACCCACCCCCCTTGGGGGGGCCTTAGGGTGGTGGAAAGTTGGCGATACAATAGTACTGGTAAGAAATTTCAAGGTGGGGTGGAGTGTGGGGGGCTCAGGGCACAAGGTTGGGGGTATGAGGAGGGGCTCAGGGCAGGGAGTGCAGGGTGAGTGTGGGGGGATAAGGGGACCATTTTGGGGGTAGGGGACTGCAGCAGCACGTGTCCCATTGCTGTGTGGTTTTTTTCCCTGTTTGCTGTGACTAGGGAGTGAGGGGAAAGTGCGGAGCCTGCTGCATTCCTCTCCCTCCCGGCTGCCAGGGGAGGGGCAGAGGAGGAACACAGCCGTCTCTGTGCTTTCCCCTTGCTCCCTGGTCACAGCAAAGAGGGAAGAAATACAGTGACTGGGTAAGTATGGTGGCAGCCCCCCCCCCACCACTCCTGAAATGGCGTCAGGGACTTGGGGGCTCGGGGCTGGGGCAGTCCCAGGGGGATGCCTCCAGCCAGCCCCTCTAACCTGCCAGGCTGCTTGCTGCAGTCTGCAGGAAGCCAGGAGCCGGACTGGGAGCGCCTTCCCCTCCCATTGCAGCTGAGGGCCCCAGCCAGCCGGCTTCTTGCCAGAGCGCCGCACCGGCTTATTTTCACCTCAGCTAAGGAGCAAAGGAGGGAAACCATGAGAGGGAGATCAGCACTGTTCCCCGAGTGACGAGTTGGTTAAGTTGAACAAGAGGAATGACTGCTCCATCCATATGCTGGACTTTCTTCCAGATTAATTTTCCACATTCCCTGTTTTCTGGGTGTCCCCACAAAACAGACCTTCCAGGGAACATGGGCCCTCTGATTCCAGTTCCACTGATACATTGCCCCTGTTTTTCCCACATTAAAAATCAATAATTGACTACCGGACCCCCACCCCGAGTTCCTTCAGCCTCAGGTGTCTTAGATAAGGGAGTTAAAAGTGTATCTTTACCACGGACTCTTCTGGTCACATAGACTTTTAGACAGGCTGGTCTCAACAGGCGATCACACCACCAGCCATCGATCTCTGTCTCTGTGTCTAGCAAGCTGTCGCTCTGTGAAATCTCCTCCCTCCTCGTGGGGGTTGGACTCCAGATGGTTTTCTGGCTCTCTGATCCGCAGAGACCTCTGTAGACTCTCTCTGGATGCTGTCTCTGTGGGCTTGTAAGTCCCTCTTGTCCCTTCACGTCACTCCTCCCCCTCGCGTAGTCAGCTCATACGACTTGGATGCCACTACCCCCCTCAGTGCTCTCTTAATCCATTCCTTCTGGGCTGTGTCTAGACTGCATCCCTTTTCCGTAAAAGGGATGCAAATTAGACACATCGCAATTGCAAATGAAGCGGGGATTTAAATCCCCCCTCTGCTTCATTTGCATAAACATGGCTGCCGCTTTTTTGCCGCTTTTTTTCCGCACGGAGCTTTGTCGGAAAAAAGCGCCAGTCTAGACGCTGATCTTGCGGAAAATAAAGCCTTTTCCAAAACATCCCTTATCCCTCGAAAAGGCTTTATTTTCCGCAAGATCAGCGTCTAGACTGGCGCTTTTTTCAGACAAAGTTCCGTGCGGGGAAAAAAAGCGGCAGGCATTTTTATGCAAATGAAGCGGGGATTTAAATCCCCGCTTCATTTGCAATTGCTCTGTGTCTAATTTGCATCTCTTTTACGGAAAAGGGATGCAGTCTAGACACAGCCCTGTGAATAGTAGGAATAAGATATCCTCTGGAAAAGGGCTTTATTCCAGAGGATCGCGCCAGTCTAGACGCTTTTTTCCGGCTTTCCCCCAAGCCAAAAAAAAAGTGGCGGACATGTTTACTTAAATCCGTGGGGGATATTTAAATCCCCCGCGGATTTCCCTATGCTGATTTACCTGATTTGCATCCCTTTTCCGGAATTTGTGGCCAGTCTAGACGTAGCCCTGGTGTTTAATGGCTGAGTCCTCACAGGAGCACCTATCAGTCCTGGACTGACCTGGTGTACTCTGTTTTCTGATTTTGTTGGCCATCTCCTCTTTTCAGTGCCTCCATCCTTCTGCTTCGTAGTAGGTTTTCCCTTGCTCGGTTGGGGCCCTTCACTCCACCAGTGTGTTCACTGGCCTGTTAAACACCCCTCTGATGGCATATTTCTGTGTTCCAAACACACTAATAAGGGGCCTGTACCACAAGACACAGATTTGTGTAGCAGTCTCTTAGCTGTTTTCACAGCTGATTCCACTTTACTGCTACTCTGGGGGTATGCTGGACAGGAGGAGGGGTGGGCAAACTCCGCATTTGCATGCAAACGCCTTCAATCCTCCCGAGGCATCTCCGGCGCTGCTGTGGAAGAATATAGTGTCTCGAATGCCACATCTCACAAAGAGCACCTCCCGCTGGCCAGTCATCGCCTTGCTTCCTGTGTCTGGCCAGGCATCGACCGCCTGAAAACGTGAATCATCGTCCGCTGTAGTCCAATAGTTCTTTTAATTGAAGGGGAATGAAGTCCGCTTGCTTTGAATGAGGAGGGAGCAGCTCATGGGGCAACAGAGTCTCTTTCTGCTGGCAGTTATCATGGCCCGTCAGTACCCTTTCAAGACCGTCTAAGACTATTGTCTGTGCCCAGGTGTGAAGCATGTGTTTGGGTTTTTTTAATAGCATCCCCATGGAATGAAGCAGGGACAATAGCTCAACTCTGCACACTCAGCCAGGGCCAGATTAAGGGCGGAGGCTAGCTGGGCAGCTGCCCCGGGCGCCAGCCTATAGGGGGCGCCTGATGGCAGCTGTAAGGGGCGCCATGCGCCGGGGGGGCGGGGCTGCACATGCACCATGCGCCTGCTGCCCGGGGTGCAGGAATGGGTCCAGCCAGCCCTGTACTCAGCTCATCTTTAATTTAAAAAGCAGCTTCTGGCCCTGCACTGCCAGGGACTGCTGCAGGGCTCTGGGCCCAGCCTCGCTGCCTCTGGTCCTGGCCACTTGCTAGTCCAGGAGCATCGGTGGTCCTGCCAGACCACAGGACCACAGGTGTTGCCAGACCAGAGAGTGCCGGTTTTCGGAGGTGCAACCTGCATCAGACCAATTCTCCAATTTGTTAAGGTCATTTTGAATTCTAATCCCAAAGTGCTTGCAACCCCGGCCAGCTGGGCGTCATCTACAAATTTTATAAGCAAATTCTTTACTTCAGCATCCAAGTCAGGAATGAAAACATTGTATAGCAGCAGGCTCTGGACTGACCCCCTGTGGAGCCCTACTAGGTACACCTTCCCAGTCTGACGCTGAATCGTTTTGATCACAGTCTTTCAACCTGTTCTGCACCCAGCGTATAGTAATTTCACCTAGATCAGGGTTCTCAAACTTCATTGCACCAGAACCCTTTCTGATAATGAAAAAGACAACGTGACCCCAGAAATGTTCTCTCTGATTTGTTTCCCATCCCTGTGCAGAATACATTTTGTTATGTGCACCAGCGCATGTGCAGATGTGCACTGCCAGTAGAAACATGCTGCCAGCTGTAGCTGCTCTGCTAATCAGCTGGGCAGCATTGGGATTTCTTCTGGGCGGCCGCCTCATCTGTCAGCATACAGGGAACACTGGACCCCAGGAGGGGGAAACTGAAGTTCGAGCCCCACTGCTATGGGTGGAGGGGAAGCCAAATTTGAAATCCAAAGGCTTCAACCCCAGATGGGAAGTCTGTAACCTGAGCCTGATGATGGGGTTTGGGCCTGGACCCCAGGGCCCAGCAAATCTAACACCAGCCCTGACAACCCCCTTAAAATGGAGATGTGACCCATTTTGGCTGCCCAACCAATGTTTCCACTAATCTTTTCCACCTATGTGCAAAATAAATTTTAGTTATGTGCCGCAAGGCATGTGCACCACCAGGAGAAACAAAAACCTAACTATTGGCGCTCTGCTAATCAGCTGGGCGGCATCTGAATCTTTCCTGAGTGGCCGCTCATGCGCGAAACTTACCAGGAACACTCGACCCACAATTTGAGAACCACTGATCTAAATTAAGGATGTTAAGTATTGGGCATTTTTGCATTGACTATTTGATTAGTCGATAGGGCGCCTTCCCCGTTGAAGTGTAGCAACAGCCATAGGGCCAAAGTGCCAAAGCCCCGGGTCAGTTGGGGACTCCCCCACTGACCTCGGCCGTTGAAGTGTAGCAACAGCCATAGGGCCAAAGTGCCAAAGCCCCGGGTCAGTTGGGGACTCCCCCACTGACCTCGGCCTCTGTGTGGCGCTGCTGCTTTGAAATGCTGCAACGAGCCTGATGCTGGGCTCCCAACGGCATTCAAAGCAGCAGCGCCACACGGAGCAGCTGGCCTCGGGCTCCATGTGGTGCTGCCACTTTGAAGTACTCCCCTCTCCCCGCCCTTCCTGCCTCTTATAGAGGCAGCAATGGGGGGGGGGGAGGAAGTGACTAGTCAACTAGTCCATCACATCTCCTTCATTTTCTTACAAGAATGTCATGTGGGACAGGTCAGAAGCCATGCTAGAACAAAGATCTATCACATCTACCGCTTCCCCCCAGCTACCAGGCCAGTAGGTCAACTGAGCTAGGGCTTGGAAATCATTATCATCAGAAAGTCCGGCTTCCTCTTTGCTGTTTTCTCTCTGGTTGCAGAGAGCCAGTGCAGGTGTCTTCCTCTTGAATAACATCATGTCAGATGTCACAGGCGTTATTTTTTCTTACTTAGGAGAAGTGCCTGATCTGGGAGAGGGGAGGGAACAACACAGAGTTAGCAGGTGAGTCAAACTTAGGTGGCAAGCAGGGAATTTATCCACAGTTAGTTAATAGTTCACACCTGAGTTATAGGCACTGTATGATTGCCTTCATAAAATCACTGATTCCAGTCCCCAGTGTGATAGTCAGGAGACTTCTGAAAAAAAGGTCTAACTGGAATTGAGACTAGGTTTCAGCAAAGCAATGAAAGCCTGATAGGAAAATAACAAACACACTGTTAACTGTGAGGATCCCTCTGATTTTCCTACTTTCAGAGCTATCCAGGCTCTCGGGAATAGATTTCAAACAGGGTAAGTCTGGAGTAGCAGACCAGGGCTTAACCAAGGAGTTAGGGCTGATTCCTTGGCGAAGATCTCCACGGCAGGGCTAAAGTTGAATGAAGCTACACACCTTCACCTATGTCAATTGCACAGCTAAAGTCGAAATACAGTAATTCCTCATTTAACACATGCCCGCTTAACACGTTTTTGTGATAGCACGATTTTTTTTTAGGGAACGTTATTTGAATTACATGACCGTCCCTGGAAAAACACGATTTCCCCAGCTGGCCCATTGCCGGTAGCTGTGCGGGGCTTCCCCCGCCTCCCTGCAAAGCGGCGGAGGGTTCACTGCTCGTTGCACCGTTCCCCGGCGACCCCCCCTTGCCGGACGCAGTGCAGGTCCTGGCAGACGTGTCACAGGGGCATACTCCCAACTCAATCCCCCTCCCCTCTCCTCCCCTTCACTTCCTCAGAGCCAAACACCTCCCCTCCCTGCTGTAACCCAGTCCCCTTTCTTCCCCAACCTTATGTCCCAGTCCCGACAGACACCACCGCTTGAAACGCAACCCCCACCTTTCCATTATTTTCAATGGGAAAATTGACCCTGTATAACACATTTTCACTTAACACGATCGTTTTCTGAAACATCTCTGTAGTGTTAAATGAGGAATTACTGTAGCTGAATTTGGCTTTTGACGCTGTCTACATAGCAAGAAGTCTCCTCATAAAACGTGGGCAGGGCTGGCCCAAGCCATTTTGGCACCCTGGGCCCCAGGCGCACAGCGCCACCCCGGGATGCGCGGCTCTGCCTCCGGGCGCACGACACGTGCAGGCCCGCCCCCGGGGCGCGTGGGCAGACATACGGCGCATGCGCTGCCCAGTCGGCCTGGCCACCGCCAATGGCGCGCAGCCCGGGGCTGCCCGGGGCGGGCTGCGCCTGGCCGTGCAGGACCTTGTGGCCGTGGGGGAAAGGGGGCTGCTGGACGGTGCTGCGGGGGTTAACATGTCCTCCGCCCCGGGCGGCTGCTGTAGCCCGCCGGGAGCGGGCGCCCCCCATAGTTTGGCGCCCTGGGCAGCTGCCTGGCTAGCCCACCCCTTAGTCCGGCGCTGAATGTGGGTGGCCAGGAGTCGGAATAAGAAGTCCTCCAGCTCGACATTATTTCGAAATAACGGCTTGTAGGGAATAACGCTGCTGTGTCGACATACCTGAGGCGATCTCCCAGGAGAGGTTGAGTTCCATCTTGGGCCCAGGCCCCCTGACCTCATCCTTCCCTTCGAGGGCAAATATTGTAGCCAGTAGGAAAGGAGGGCATAGATAAAAGGGGCAAGGGCTGTGTGTGTGTGTCCATTTTGTGTGTTTAATGATAGCCATGCATGCTGGAATGAAGCCCCGCCTCTGATAGGGAAATGCTGTCGAAATTTCCCACAGCCTCGTATGCATCGTTTGGATCCGTCTCCCAACTGCATCCATGGGACATTAGGATCGGGGGTGAAAATAACTTGAATTTCTTACAGAAACTGTCCTATCACAATCCCCCTCCCTTTGGGGGAGCTCCTCAGGGTGGGGGGTGTTGCAATACAACAGAACCTGTAAGACATTTAAGTGTGGGATAGAGTGCTTTCCCACAGCCTCGTATGCATCGTTTGGATCCGTCTCCCAACTGCATCCATGGGACATTAGGATCGGGGGTGAAAATAACTTGAATTTCTTACAGAAACTGTCCTATCACAATCCCCCTCCCTTTGGGGGAGCTCCTCAGGGTGGGGGGTGTTGCAATACAACAGAACCTGTAAGACATTTAAGTGTGGGATAGAGTGCAGGGG